GGGGGAGTGGACACAATTTATCAAAAACAGCATTAACCCCTTTGAGGATGAGAGAAGTCCCATAGTTGCTCCCCAACCTTCTGTAAAAATCTTTCTCATGCAGTCTTGTGCCTGTGGCTCTTTAAGGAGCGAAGGAATTGAAGTTGTGTCCAGCAATATATAGGAACGGAAAATGGAGGGATGGTCAGATGATCCATAACCTGAATTAATTCACTGTAAGTAAGGGTGAGGGATCAGAAATGACCGGGACTGATATAAACCCCAATTAATCATGACAGTCACAGAGAGGAACTTAAGAGTTTCCTATCCGACCCAGGAAGGAGGTTAGAGCCTCCATTAAAACTTAATGGACATAATAACCCCAACAAGCACCAGTGATTTTAGAGAGAGAATTTTATTTCTAGATCATCTACCAGTCCAGCCATTGGTTGGAGGACAGAATTGTTCGTGGCTTTGGGGGGGGGGGTCGTCTTCAAGTGGGGGAGGGGAGAGGATTAATTGAACACTCTCTGCTGATCTGCTCAGAATGAACTAAACAGGGCTATTGATGACCTCTACAAAAGCAGTTTGGGTGGACAGTGGGGGCAGAAACTGGCGATTCACATTCAGAAATACTTTTGCAATTCAATTATAGAGCATAAAGTTGGGATGAATTGAGGTACATATGAGAGATGAGGCAGTTACGTTCATGGATGTAGACAATGCCCGAATGAAATGAAGTGATATTTTAAAAATGAGATAACATAGAGCGTATACATCTACAAAAAGCTACATAACACTGCCCAGCCCCAAGAGTGCGCGCGCCGCCGTCGCCTCCGCGCATGCTCAGGCGCCCCTGTCGCCCTCTTCCCTCCGCTGGAGCGTGCCCCGCCCCCTTTCCGCCTCCGGCTTGGCTCCCATTCCTGAATAAGCTCGGGTGCCTCAGCTGCTTCAGTTCGGTTGCGCCTGCGTCTGCTGTGCAGTGTCTGCTGTGCTCGCCTCCGAGCCATGATTCGAACCTCAGAGGGTCGGCCCCTGCGCCGGGTTTTTGTAGTCGGGGTTGGGATGACCAAGGTAAACAGCCCGGAGTCGGGCTCCCTGCTCCGCTCCGTGCCCGTGAGGCCAGGGGAAGCCCAAGATTACCGCGAAACGGGGTGGGCAGGTCAGGGCCTGGCACTGTACGTCTGTCTGTCCTTCCAACCTTGAGGGTGGGTGCCCAGGACATCCCACAGCCCAGCCCCTGCTTCTTGACCCTTGCGACATCAGAGTGGCGGCTGGGGTGGGTTGTGATGTAGTGTGTCTCTGAGGGATTGTAGTGTCTCGCGGTTGTTCCTGCTGCCAATTTGTTCCTCTTCCTCCTCCCTGGGTTAGAGTTTGTGAAGGATAACCCAAAGTCCACATCGCTTTTGATTCTGAGTGGACCTTTAAATGTGGCAAGGCCTGCCTCATACCCCAAAGGGAAGCAGGTTGTGAATGTCACCAGCTCTGCACTCCTAGGAATACTGTAGTCCACCCTTATCTGTGGTTTCAGTTGCCTGTGGTCAACTGGGTTCCAAAATATTAATGGAAAGTTATAGAAATAATTCATAAGTTTTAAATTGCGGTTCTGAGTAGCATGATGAAATCTCCCACCATCCCACTCCATCCAACCTGGGATGTGAGTCCTTTCTTTATCCATGCTGTATGCCCTCTGTATGCACTATCCACTGTTAGTCATTTAGCAGCTATCTTGGTTATGAGAGAGAGAGAGAGAGAGAGAGGCCACATTGACATAACTTTTATTACAGTATATTGTTATAAATGTACTATTTTACTATTAGTTATTGTTACTGTGCCTAATTTATAAATTAAACTTTATCATAGATATGTACATATAGGAAAAAAACAGTACATATGGAGTTAGGTACTGTCTGTGGTTTCAGAGATCCTCTGGGGGTCTTGGAAAATAGCCCCCAATAGTTAAGGGGGGACCATTGTACTCCTTGTTGGATCCCTTCTCAGAGACAGTGGGAAATATGGAAGATGAGGAGTAGAAATATTAGTGATGTTCAGCATCCTGGCACAAGGGGCAGGTTTTCTGGATCCTCCAACCTTGTTTCTGTTCCTCAAGTGGTACTCTGCTTGGTACTTAGGAGGCCAGAGGCTCCTAAGGTCTCATTTTTTGACACACTCACCACCCCAATGCTCTATTAATGCGAAACTTTTTTTAGTTTCACTCCATACTGTTTTATGCCTCTGTTGCTTTGCTTCTGTTGTTTCCCCCACTTGTACCATTTGTCTTCATTTGGTTAACTTCACTGTAATTTTCAAAGGTCAGTTCAGATTTTCTCCATGAAGCCTCTGATCTTCCTGCCTGTCCCACAGAGCCCCTGAACTTGCCTTTATCTTACTGTGTTATACTGAAATTCTGTTTCTATGTCTATATTTTGCCTGGCATGTAAGCTCCTCCAAGGTGAGTACCATGTCTAATCCATTGCTATACTTCTAGCACTCTGAAAATATCTGTTGCCTGAAGATGCTCAATGAATGTTTGTTGAATAATATTAAATGGATCTGCTTTGTGAAAGAGCTCCTAGGGGAGGATTCTCTTTCTGAGAAAACATCCTTAATTTTTTTATTATCTTACCAGTGGGCTACAAGTACACAATTCAATCTATCTATCCATTATCTATTTATTTATCTATCGATCGATTGATCTATAAAAGTCAACTAATATATTATAAAACATACTTGGAGATCATCATCCTATTGTTTCATTGGAGAGAGGACATCTAATATAGGTGGACAGTAAAACCTTTTAAATTATTGTATCAATGCAGTCAGATCCTTTATTGGCTGTTGGATGTCTGATTATATTGGCTATATAAGAGAACACATAGAAACAGCTTTCTAACCCTTTAGGAAGTAGGAGATGTTTTTCTTTTTCCTTATGTTGGGAGGTGGAGGTGTCGGAGGTGTTAGTTACAGTCTTGAGAGAAGAAATTGGGAGTATGGAAAGCAACTTTGTTGATGATGTGCTTATTAGGCCAATGTACTCCCATCTTGGTTTGATCTTTTGGAACTCTGGGCAGGGTTTGATGAAGGGAGAAATTTACTAGATAACTGTTTAAGCTCTATTGGTAGATCTCAACTGTTTGGGTTCCTGTGTTATGGTTTTTAATTTGAATAGCTGAATTACCCAGACAACTTGAATCTCTCTTAATGAGGTTTTATTATCAGTGTAAGGAAATGAGTTAGAATTCCTATTGTGTATGTCAACAGGGTTTTTTTGTTTTGTTTTGTTTTTTTTAAAGATTTTATTGGGGAATTGGGGGAGGGGAACAGTGTTGGGGATAATGGAAATTATGTTAACATGTAAAGGGTTTATTTATTTTTTATATATATAATTGAAAGGTATTTTTAAATGTTCTCAGTTTTAAGTGCTAAGATGGTAAATATTGGTAAATACAAATCTCATCATCAAAAGCTCTTTGACATCTTCAAAGAGAGTAAAGGGGTCCTGAGCCCAGGAAGTTTGAGACTTGCTGGAATTAGTCATTGAGCACTAACAGCTGCTAACACCACAAAGAGAGTCAGACATATGCTCCCTGATGATAGAATACACTGTCACCTATAGTTTCATCAAAGGAATGGAATGTGATTATGCAAGCATGTGGATCCAGCTTCCAAATTACAAGAAATATGGAGAACAGAGGAATATGTTGAACTGCATGAGTAAACAGTTGGCAAAATATATGCTTTGGAAAACTACAGATCAAGTGCTTTGGGTTCTTTAACAGATAGATTGAGAAGAAAAGAGTAGTGGAGGGGAACCTGTAAGTTAAAAGAGAATGAAAAGGCCCATACATTTTTTTTAAATTGGCAAGGCTAAACTGTAGTGTCTACAGATACACACTGGGGAGATAAAGCTATAAAATATTGGGTTGTCGGAAAAGTCATGATGCATTTTTGCAAAGAAAAACAGAAAAAAATGCGACATGACTTTTCCGACAATCCAATATTACAAGAAAGTGATTACAGTAAGAATCAGGATAGTAATTATTTGGGGAGTAGGGTGGGGATTGTGATTGGGACAGAGGGCTTAGAGGAATTTCTGGAGTGGCAGGCAAAGTTCAGTTTTTTGATCTGCATGGTTATGTTAAAGGTGAACACTAGATTAGGTATTAGGACATTTTAATGAGTAATGTGCTATTGCAAAAGGGAAAAGAGCCCATTGTAAACTGAGCTCAACTTTGATTTATACAGAGGTGACTGGGTGTTTTAAAGGGTGTATGAGGGAATTAAGTAAAATACATGTTATAATACGTCTTTTACTGCGGTTTGCAGTCAGAAATGTTGGAAAGCCATTTCTCTTTAGTACAAGCACCGACCAGCAAAGCACTCCGCCTTATCTGTCAGTCACCAAGTTTGGTAGATTTCACTTCCTTTATGTTTCTGAAGGCTATCTACATCTTTCCATCCTTTTTGCTACTATTTTAGTCAGCTCTCACTTGGACTATTTCAGAATTGTGCCATTTGGTTTCACTGCCTCTGGCCTTGCTCCCTTTATTCATTTCTCCACATTGCATCTAGAATGATCTAAAATGCAGGTCTTCTCATCCCAGTCTGTCTCTCTGTCTCTTAAAATAGGACTTTATTTTTTCAAGGCAGTTTTAGGTTCACAGCAAAATTGAGCAAAAAGTACTACAGAGTTCCCATATGTTCCTGCCCTCACACATGCACAGCCTCGCCCACTATTGGTAATTTGCACCCGAGTGGTACTTTTGTTACAATCAATGAACCTACATTGACACATGATTATCACTCAGAAGTCCATAGTGTTCATCAGGGTTCACTCTTGGTGTTATGTATTCTATGGATTTGTACAAATGAATAATGACATGTACCCATTATAGTATCATACAGAATAGTTTCACTGCCCTAAAATTCGTCTGCTCTGCCTGGTCATCCCTCCCTCATCTCAACCCCTGGCAACCGTTGATCTTTTTACTGTCTCTATAGTTTTGCCTTTTCCAGAACGTCAAATAGTTGGAATCATACAGTATGTATGTAGCCTTTTTAGATTGGCTTCTTTACTTAGTATTATACGTTTAAAGTTCCTCCATGTCTTTTGATGGCTTGATAGTTCATATCTTTTTAGTGCTGAATAATATTCCATTGTCTGAATGTGCCACAGTTTATCCATTTACATACTAAAGACATCTTGGTTGCTTCCAAGCTTTGGCAATTATAAAGCTACTATAAGCATCCATATGCAGGTTTTTGTGTGTACATAAGTTTTCAACTCATTTGGCTAAATACCAAGGAGAACAATTGCTGGATTGTATGGTAAGAGAACTTTTAGTTTTGTAAGAAACTGCCAGACTGTCTTTCAAAGTGGCTATGTCATTGTGCATTCCCACCAGCAATGAATGAGAGTTCGTGTTGCTCCACATCCTTGTGAGCATTTTGTGTTGTCAGTGTTTGGCTTTTGGCCATTCTAATAGGTGTGTAATAATATCTCATTGTTTTATTTCAGCCTCTTCTTTAAAAAGATCTGTTGTCTTTAGGATAAAGCCTAGACATCATAGGAAGGCCTATAAGTTCCCTTGTGAGTTGGCCCTAGAGCCAGACTATCTGAAGTTTCAGCTCTACTACTTATTAGCTGTGTGTCTTTGGGCGAGTTACTTTATCTTTCCGTGCTCTAGTTTTTTTTATTGTAAAGTGGTGATAATAACAGTACCTACATCTTAGTGTAATGAGGATTAAAAGTGTTAATACATGTGAAGTGCTTACACACAATACATTAATGTAGTAAGTTCCCAGTAAATGTTAGTAGTTATCATTTGGTCCTACATTACATGTCCCTTCATGTCCCTAATACTTGTCACTTCCCATCTTGTGCTTCAACCTCTGCAATATAAAAATTGTTAGCGGTACCTGGATTGAGCCACATTCTCTTACTTCTAGGCCTTTGCTCTAGAATTTCCTGTTCTGTCACTTGGCTGACTCCTACTCATCTTTAAAGACTTAATTGAAATGTCAGTTCCTCTGGGAAGCCTTTCTAGTCCCCTCTCTAAGGCTGGGTAGTTGTTTCTCCCAAATCATTCTGTACTTATGACACTGTAATGTAACTTCCTATTTTCCATTAGACTGGAAGCTCCCTGAGGGTAAAGGGCTATATATTAAATCCAGGAACACGATAGGTGCTCAATATGTTTTTATTTAAGTGAGTAGATGAATGAATTTCTGTGATGCTCTGTTGTGAGGAAATCTAACTAAACTTGTTCCTATTTATTGTCTGTTTCTATCTTTTCAGTTCATTAAGCCTGGAATGGAGAATTCAAGAGACTACCCTGACTTGGCAAAAGAAGCAGGTAATATAGAACATTTCGATTTTTGAACGTTTTAGTTTATTGTGTGGTTTCCCTTAATTGTGGAGCAGGCTTGCAACCATAAAAGGAAGCCTGGTCAAGGGAGAAGAACCTATACAGGCAAGAACCTAGTGGCTCACTGGAGAGGGGACAGAGAAAAGAGCTGGAGCATTGTTAGCTAGATAGCCAGAGCAGACAGTGGCCTGTGATTTTATGTGTTATCCAGCTGTTTGTTGGGATAGCAAAGGGCTCTGTGGGAGAGAAAGGTAGGGTCAAAAGGAACAACTTCATTCTAGGAGTTATGACAAAATTAGCGTCTTCCTTTCCTAGAAAAAGGGATACAGTAAGTCCCTGACTTACGAACGAGTTCTGTTCCGGGAGAACATTCGTAAGTCGGATTCGTTCGTAAGTCCGACTCATTCGTAAGTCCGACAAAGTGAGTCTTTGCGCTTCCTAGCAGTCCCCTCCACGTCACCACTGCTTTTCCTCTTGCTTCTGGACATCCTGGGCTCTGATTGAGCACTGTACTACTGTACACTATTGCACTGTACAGTAAGCATACAGCAGCACAACTGTGACAATGTCTGGCAGACACGTGAGGTACTTCTGCGATTTGTTCACATCTACGAATGTTCATAATACGAGGTCTGTTCGTATCTGTGAAAGTTCGCAACTCAAATGTTTGTAAGTCAGGGACTTACTGTAATCACATTCAAAATGTAGTACACACCAGTAATACTTCCCAGAGCCAACAGAGAGAATTCTTTTTCTTTCACTAGGCTAAATAAGGTAATGCCATTTGTTATTGTTTATTCTAGTGAGTGTTAAGCAAAGGATGAAAACTAGTGAGCTGGAACTCAAAGAGAGAAGGGTCCATAGGTGTGTGGGTCCTTGTTCTCTAGGCATACTTCAGAGAGACGTGCTTGGGCCAGGCTGCAGCTGGCTGAACTATGGATCTGAGTTCCAGGATAGTCATGATAGCTTCCTTACATAGTGGAAATAAATATTTTAGACTTAGGGCCAAGCAATCTAAGTTTAGGTGTCCGTTGTTTAAGGGAGTGCTAGGAAATGCCAGCTTCCCAGCACATGGAGACCTTGGGAGCTCCTTGGTCCCATGAAGTTGTTAGGTATAGTCCTCCTCCTGGGAAGCCTTCACGCCCTCATCCTGTTCCTGTTAGCTTATTGCCAGGCAACCCAAAAACAATTACTGTAGTTATTCATTAGACATTCCTCCTTGTCTCCACCAATAGTACCTACTCCCCAGTGCCCATGTATTTGGATTTTGTTTCAACTCTATTATTTAACTCAGTGTTTAGATATTACTATACATGGAGTAAGAGGATCTCTGCTCCCCAAAAGGAAGGTTCAGAGATTGAATTAATTGATATTGATTCTCTGGGCGGACACTGTTCACTTAGTGTTTATCTTTTGTGTTGTTAAATATTCTCTTGACTGATGTCTCCAAACAGCTTCTGCCTTTCTCTGAAGTGGGAGATGCCTTAAACAATTCTTCCTATATATTTTTGTTCCTTTTCTTATATTTAGTTAAGAATTTCGAGGTTACTTTAGTAATATGTGAATATGATATTTTTATTATAATGATGGTAATGTTGAGGTGAAGTTATGAAGTTTGAAACTAACTGTGGGCATTTACTAGTAACAAGAAATTCAGCCGATTGACTCTTCTTGCTGCTTAAAACTCTCTTCTTTTGCAAGCATACTTAGGAAAATAAACTTCATTTAAATAAAGGAACTTTTATGTAGAATAAACTTTTAAAACTTAGCTTTGATCTTAAAAATACCCCTTGGTTCTCAGTATGTAGGGAAATGAGAACTGCAAAAGGATGACTCCACTGATGTATCTGACGTAGTCTTAGGTGAGATATGTACACCTTCAGACTACATCAGTCACATTTAGTTGAATGTATATTCAAGCACAACGTGGGGGGAAAAGCCCTAAGATTCTATAAATGAGTTTACATTCTGCCGTCTCTGGACTTATCTGTAGACTGTGGTGATGAGGCAAGGAGGTTGGTTTCATGGAATAGTAGATCCAGAAGTCTTACCCTCTAATTCTCCAAACTGGTTTTAGGAGGAGGTTCTGCTACCACTTTCTTGCCTGTAATTTCCTAAATGCATAGAATAGAGGGGAGCACAACCAACAGAATTGTGCCCTGTCACTTTCATTATTTAGAGACTTCTGCTCTTTTACACGTTCCTCCATCCTCCTTTCCCTCAGAGGGACCCCTTTGCACCTAAATACAAATGACACTCATTTAAGTGGTGTAGCAACACCCGGTTACTCTTTGAAACTGTTTCAGATAGTTCCCTCCTGTGCTTCCTTTGTCTTCTCATCACTTTAAAACATTTTTATTTAACAATTATTTGAATCTGGAAGTATATACAGAAAACCTGATGTTAAGACAACATGCTCAACACCTATTAGTGAGTGCATCTTGGGCACTGGGAAGGATTCACAGGAGAGTGGTATACAGATCTCAAGGCTTTTACCATCTAGTGGGAAAATAGGGCAAGTTCACACAGACACTATGTAGACCATGTTAGGTATAACATGCTGTTGGCTATTAGAAGAGGTACAGAGCACAGGCCTAAATCACACACCATTTTTGTAGCTCATTCTTTCCCACTGATTATAAGAGCAATGCATGTGTTTTATTGGAACTCAGAATTATATAATAATGAAAACAAAATTTTGTGACCTATGCCTATCACTATTAACATCTTGGTGTATTCTATTTTAGTAGTCTTTCCTGTGGATTTATGGGATTATATTCTACATGTAATTTTGTAGCCTGAAGTTTTAAACTTATTTTATCATGAGCATTTCTCCTGTTGCTTAAAATTGTTTGAAAAAAATCATATTTTATGATATATCTATGCTGTATTTTTTGTTGGACATTTAGGTTCACAACTTTTTGACATTTTAGAAGAATTATGGCAAACATCTTGCTAATAAATACTTGTCCTCATCTCTAGTTACTTTTGAGGACAGATTGAAATAGACTCAGTGGAACAGTGAATATCACATTTTTAAGATGCTTGCCAAATTATTTTTCAGACTATTTACATTATTAGAATTTCACTAGCGGGCTATGAGAATGCTCTTCTTACATAATCTCATCAGCATTATTACAAGTAAAACATTTTTTTACTCATATCTAAAAAGGAAAAGGTAACTGCTGTGACTAAACCAATCTCATAATCAATTATATATCTTCTTAGTTAAAAAAATCAAAGTAGGGCCGGCCGAGTGGCTCAGTTGGTTAAGAGCTCGCTCAAGAGTTTGAGCTCTGAGCAACAGCGGTTCGAGTCCCAGCCCGAGCTGAGCAGCCGCTGAGCTGCCAACAGGTGGCAGGATGGCTCAGCTTAAAAAAAAAAATCAAAGTAATAGATTCATATGGTTAAAAAAAAAAGCACAAAATGACTTATAATTCCCAGGTCTGTTTTCAGTGGGCAATTGTTTTTTTAAACTGTTTTGGCTTTAGTTCTTCCAGTGGTTATTTCCATATCTCTAAATGTTTATTCCACCATGCTTATTCTAGTTTTTGGTTTATCAGTTTTAGATATCTGTTGGCTTCTCACTAGTAGATGAGGATTTAGCTCACACCAACCCCCACTCTCCTCTTCCCAGTTTATTTTTATAATTTTTCTCAGTTCCTCTATAGGTCATTTCCTCAACTTTGGGTAGCATCCTTAAAGCTCCATTTCTTGTTCCATAGATGGGATCATCTCTTGATCCTGGCTTTGTAAGATGACCACATTGGTGCACCCCACACTCACTCCCAGTATTGACATTCTATCCAATTTTTCCCACTAGATGTGTAGTAGAGCCACAGAGATGGGGAAGACAAGGAACTTGCTGTTAAGGAGATTTAAGACTCTTGGGATTTAATGTATTTAGAGTTAGGTATACAGTTAGGATAGAAAATATTAAGTATCAAAAAGGAGGTGTGAAAAAGTGATGCAGTAGCTTAGAGGAAGAAATTATTACTTCTGAAAGGAGATACCTAGATGAGTTGATGAAGGATTTGCCATTTGAATTGAACATAGTCTATATAGAGGTAGACTTACTCTGGGAAAACTCTGAAGTTAATTTTTACTCACCTAAAGCAAATACTTATAGCACTATTTGATAAAACCCTTTTGTTTTTATAGGTCAGAAGGCTTTAGCTGATGCACAGATCCCTTACTCAGCAGTGGAACAGGCATGTATTGGCTACGTTTATGGTATGTGGTAAACTATATATTCTAAAAATTATTCACCTAAGTCTAGCAGTAACTGTATAAACAATGCAGAGACATTTTTGAATTTTAACTCTCAAAACCCAGAACTCAAAGTTTTACCCACCATTCCTAGATTTCCCTTTGTGTCAGCCTAGTTTAACACATATTTTTTGCCATGTTGTCAAAACAGGAGATAAATTAAAGAAAAATTTTTTTATCTTTAAAAAAGAAAAAAAATTTACCAATAGTTCTATCATATAAAGTTATTTACTGTTCAGAAGATGCATTTTTATTTCTTGTCTTAAAATTTGCATTTATTAACATTTTTATATTTAATAAAAATTTTTATTCAACTTTTTCTGGTTAAAAAACAATATATACTAATTGTAAAAACAAAAAGGAGGAGAACTGACTCTGGGTGGTGAACACACAACATGATATATAGATGCTTTATTACAGAATTGTATACTTGAAACCTATGTAACTTGACTAACAATTGTCACCCCAATAAACTTTAATTAAAAAAAGGAAACACAGAAAAGCACAAGAAGAAAAATGTCACCTTTTATCCCATTATCTTGAAATTATTATCATTAATTTTTGCCATTTATCCTTCAGTAACTATGAATGCATGTGAATATACATGCGCATACAGTTTTCTTTTAAAGAAAATAAGATCTTAGTATACGTACTTTTTGGTAACCTGCTTTTCTCATTTTACTATATTCAGCATTTCCCATGTCATTAAGTCTTCTTTTATACCATTAACATTTTGCAATTAAGTTTTCTTGTTTCTAGAATAGATTAAATATTTACATGGTACCAAAATACAAAAGGTGGGTGGTTATATAGTGGAAAGTTTGACTCTTATTCTTGTCTCCCTGTCTCATGGTTCCCTTCCCTTAGAAAATCAGTTGCACGAGTATCTAGTGAATCTTTCCAGAGGTAATTTATATATGTACAAACAAGTCTGTGTGAGTCTGTAAATTCTCCTTTCCCCTTTCTTTTGTTACACACATGGTAGCATAATACATGCACTATTTTGTAGCTTCTTT